TTTGATTGGAGGAATCGAGAAACATACTGAAGTTTGCCGCGGGACGGATTTAAAGCAAACTCCAAACCATCGAGACAATTTAAGTTTAAGTAGGGCAAGTATGGTTTTGATAAAATCAATTCATGAAAGCAAGTTTATTTCTCGAGAAGCACGAAATCATGACTTTTTAAAACGCGCTCCAAAAAATGGCTTGAATTATTTCAGGTTCTATATCGACTCGTCAACACATTGTATTCAAACCAGATTCGCTTGCATTTATACTTTATCGGTTGATTAGTCCTCATTACATAAGTGCGAATGTCACTCTGGCGAGGTTTATGATTCCATTGTATTTATGATGCTTGATAACATTTCGTAGTCTTTTCTCTACAGACCGGCTTCATATCTTATCACTCTTGTCGGATCGTAATCAAAATCATGTATGTTTATGCCTCGGTAAGCGACATACTATGGAAGAAGCATTGGATGCACACTAGGCCTTAACTAGACACTTTAATGTATTACCTTACACGACATGTTAATAAGGTTGGAAAATAATTCGCCTGAATCAACCCTTTAAAAATGGCCACCTCATCTCTACTTTCCACACAACACTGGTGTCTACCATTTCTATTTGTGTTTACCATCAGCTTTGCATTTACTGTTACGGCTTTATTATCATAAGTATGTCATGTTAATTTCGTTCTCGGTATATTTATATACTATACAGGTTGGAAAATATTTGAACGACCCCAAGAATATTCCACAAGCCAACCATAGTTCATCAAGTATATCTGTATTGACACATCCATTTGTCAGACTAATATAACCCAAACTGAAATTCAAGACAACTGTCAACGTGTGTCATAACAATGTTGTTTGGCAGCATCATTGCAATTTACATCCAAAGTGCGGTAATTACTTAACTTCGATGTTTTGCTTTAAGTATTTTACTCAAAATAAGTTGTACAGCTCTAAACGTTAAACTTAGCAATAAACGACTATCCATTGATACGTCATGATTCACTATCAAAGAGCGTAACCCACTATACAATGCTGATTTAGCATATTTGTTTGTGAGTAGATACGAAGACGCATTTTTTGCGAAGCATGTGAAGCAACACTGTGTGTTTTCAACTCACTGAAAACTCGTCAACATTACACGAGCTAATTTATAGCGATTTTTAAAATCACATGTCTCTACTGTGACTTGACAATCATGCAATATAAATAATAAGAGTGACGAAACGAATAACAAATCTCGGTTGATGAATCGGCCGACAGTTATCCTGTAGTGGCATTGGACCATAACCACACTATCCTCAAAGCTGAATACGAGATTACTCGGAAAATAGGTATTCAATATTTAACGCGAAGAAATACCTAACGATGGAGAAGGCGCGAATAATGAATTGAATAGACTAGAGTTGATCGAACGGCATGGCTCGGCCTTGCAGGCGTGGTCTCTGCTGAATGTTACCTTATATCTTCTTTCCATACTAAATATATTGTTCTTTCTCTAGCCTAACCTTGTTCCACATCATGTAATGGTAATTGATACGATACAGTGAGTTGGTGTAGTCGATGGTGTGACTTCCACGTAAGATCTTATAGATTATGCAGTCATATCATGACAAATCTACAAATTTAGGATTAGGTCTATTATTAGAGCAGTACTAATATCATAGTAGACCATAAATACTACATTGGTAAGCCCGACTAAAAAAACACAACGTATTATTGTTAATCCTTATTTCCACCTTAACCTGCTCAATCGATTTCTATTTGTGTAAACCCATTATTCTAATAGTTCTCTGATTAATGCTCACGTGTATTATCGTAATGTTATATCGATTAGTTCTCATAAAATACTAGCTCAATCGATAGTAAAAACTGGTCGTCTATGTTAACTAATTAGCTTTGATGGTTCGTTAACAAGCTTTAATAGCATTTACATGCTTCAGCGACATAGACTTGTTTAAACATCAAGCTCTAGCAAATAGCTTAAATATACATTGCCTAACAATGCAGTCAAGGACTAAATAGTTATCTGGATCTAATTCTTAGTGTTTCTTCGCTTAACACCTCATCCTGTTTTAAACTATGCACTATCCTTTTCTTCCGACCACTGCCTGCCTAATTTCATATTCTCGAGTTCCATTGCCAAACAACAAGGATGACACTTCTCTAAAAACATACGGTGAGTTTCAGCCATAAGTTTCCTGCAATCATAAGGTCATTTTAGATGGCTCGTTCAATGGCTGATACAATTATCTGGATTCATTCGATTGTTTTGATCTGAGCGAGTGGCAACAGCATCAAGCACCCTGGAATTAATTGCCATACTGCATGTTTTATTGTGGATACTTTTGGATCATTACTCCTCACGAATGGCGTTATATATGTGGTCCACTGAATAATCTAATTTTCAAAAATTATCCAGGCGAGTTCAACTATTTCACTTAATGATTTTTCGTACTTAACATGTATATGTTTCCTAGCTGCTTTTGCCATATATTTGTAAGTGTCCCTAGGCTAAATGCAGTAACTTCTTATAGAATGTTTATAACGCGTCATATTCCTGCCTAAAGTTTCACAAGCAGTCTTAACTTTAAAATTGTTTTTCTGGTCATGTTCATTATTTTTAAATTTTCATATACGTCAACAACCTGCATGTTAACCTGGCCCGTATGTACGTTTTACTATATCTTCATGTCTTTTGAATTCAGAAATCATCTGAATCGCCTTTAACATTTATCAATAAACCCACCATAGTCATTGTTGCTGATCGTATTTGGGTTTATGGATTGGTTTATCATATTAGCAGCCTAAAATGCGAACATAGTTTAGATGATAAGATTAAAAAGTTAGGTACTATCAACTGCACTAGTAAAATTACTAAATCCTCAGGTAGTTGTTGGTTGAACAAACTTTTAAAATCAAAACTCCGTAGCCTACTAGAATTAACACTAAACAAATATTTCTAAATTGAAATTTATAGTTAAATTAGGCGTCTCGGATTCTTTAACGTTATAAATTTCTGATAATTTTGAATCACCTAAAGCAACAATGCCTATTTTTCCACTGGCCAATCTTCAATCAACACTATAACTCATTAAACACAATAGTTTCAGGATATCTTCATAAAGCATTGTCATGACTTGACAATCACGTAATATGATTGATAAAATTAATGAAACTATTAACAAATAGGTCAGCAAATTGACTTATGATTATAACTAGTGTTGTTTTCCTTTTATCTTCATTCACTACAGGCGATTACAGTATGTTTATCTATCAGTTGCTCATTCAGTAAATATCTCAGAACCTTGTCAGTCTAATTGATGGTTTAGCGACACAATCATGCATGCAAATAATCAGTATAAGCAGTCGAGCAAATATCCTGCAAACTGAAAACATCAATGTCGAATTTACCCCAACACTGACTAAGGTTCAAGCTATTATCATAGGCATGAGTTGGGAGTGCACTCCCCTTGGTTACAACTTATGTTCTCCCTGATAATCACATGAGCATCACTCACTATTAATCATCTTGTAAAAAAATTATTTAGCTAAATACATCTTGCAGCACATCACTTAGTAATATGACACATGGGCTTAGCTGATTTTAATAACTTATAACCACTATATCTCAATTAAGTCGTATTCTGCCTTCATACGTGCAACTAACTTGTATGTCCAATCAGCCGGCAAGTATAAATATAAATAAATAGTCTGCCACAGATCAGAACATTGAGTCTAGAGCATGTCTCTTACGAATACACTCATGTTTAACGATTTGTTCTTAGCTATCTGTCCAAAACTCATATAATTTTCACTCATGTATTTAAATTTTGTTTTGATAACCATTCATGTGTATTAGTAGTATTACTAAATTCTATCACGGTCAGGTAAACATGGGGTTGAAAAAATCTCCCCGTAACTAAATAAACCGTATCAAACTAACTGGAACACTAGTTGGAATTCTTCTCCACGGTAATGCTTTTGTTCCTTCAGTTAGCCTACTAATACAGATGCAATTGGAAATCGACTCATATGGACAACTTACCGGCATAATCGTTATTTGATTTCATAAGTTAGACTAAAAATGGTACTAATATTAACATTTCTACAATATTCATAACTTTAATATTTCTAAACACAAAATACATACTACCTATACGTTAAGTTGTCAACCAACGGCTATTACACACGCATCGTTTTATTATTACTATTATTGTAATCCCAATTTTTTTTATTGCTCAAATAATCACTCAAATTTTCATTGTAAGCGTTTTAAGCATGAAGGCAGATATTTTAAAATTATTACATGTATTTCCCGACCAGATGCTGCCGTCTTTTTGATTTATCTTTCAGCTTGTCATCACCCGGAGTGGATTCTTATTATCCTTGGTAACCTCCGGCGCGCGAGACCCCATCGAATTGGTATCGAACCAACACTACGTTGATTCTGGTGGGAGAGTAGTGTTGTGGCATTGGACCATAACCACACTATCCTCAAAGCTGAATACGAGATTACTGGAAAATAGGTATTCAATATTTAACGCGAAGAAATACCTAACGATGGAGAAGGCGCGAATAATGAATTGAATAGACTAGAGTTGATCGAACGGCATGGCTCGGCCTTGCAGGCGTGGTCTCTGCTGAATGTTACCTTATATCTTCTTTTCATATTAATATATTGTTCTTTCTCTAGCTAACCTTGTTCCACATCATGTAATGGTAATTGATACGATACAGTGAGTTGGTGTAGTCGATGTGTGACTTCCACGTAAGATCTTATAGATTAGGCAGTCATATCATGACAAATCTACAAATTTAGGATTAGGTCTATTATTAGGCAGTACTAATATCATAGTAGACCATAAATACTACAATCCCTCTATAGTGTTGAATACTCTTGTTCACCTTAATTTGATGTAGATGATTACGACATGTTTTCCTGTCAATTGCTTATTAAGTGAAGTTTAAACTTCTAATAATAAGCAAATATATTCAATTCAATTGACATACATTTTTGGATCACTTCCTACAAGTTTTAAAAATGAAATCGCTATTCTCTTGTGAACATAATTATTTTCTATTGCACACGCCATCATTAAACCCCCGAAAAACAGCATGTTTGTATCCTGGAAAGATTTTTAAAAAATCCAAAGGAAAGTTTATACTACATAAAGAGAATTTTAAATGGAGAATAAACATCTTTAGTAATTTTAATTGTTTTATGCAACAATGTTCTGGAAGTACAAACATGTTAAGTAAAACCACTCGTCCAGAATTGTAGAACATTGTGACAGAATAGGATACATAAAATCTAATTTATCATAAACACAAAAACTTTTAAGTTGTGAATGCTATCATGTCATTTTGTCTTAACTTAAGTCTCATTATCAAGTAGGATTTCCAGAACTTCTATATTTCTTATCAAGGCACCAGTTAACAGTAGAAAATAGCATCAACTTTCGTGATTTTTAAGAATTATAGTTAATAAAACGTACTCTTGTATAAGATGGAGAAATAGTTGATGCCGGTGCTATTCCAAGTAGTGGTCCAAACACCAGTGGGATTAGAGCAGTCACATAAATCGGTATGATTTCAGTCACCCATAAACCAGACATAAGAAGTAAAACATAGCCTCCTTTTGCTGGCTTTAAAATAAATAAAGGCAATAAGGTAAACATTTAATGATATTGTATGATTAAAAAATGATTTGTTAGAATCAGCATAAGAGAAACAGCACGTAAATATCTAATTACACAAATCAGCGCTATATATACCGTATTTCTTTTCTATTTAAAAGAAATTACCTGATATATTTCATAGACGAATTTGTTTCCTACTAGTTTTTACGCCTAGCCAAAGAACTTCATATTGACGGAAATGTTTTGTATGATATACGTTCTAAGGGACCTTAATTAAGAAGCTTTCAAAATAACATCTAACTATTCCAAAGAACATGACAAATTCAGAATACTCATTCTTACAGAGATTATTTAATATTTGAGAAAACGTTAATAGGAATTTACAACAAAATCAGCCGGCTAAAATGTGATTTGTTTTCTTACTGAACTTCTAAAATTTGACAAATAATTTGCATTTAAAACTTATGGAATATTTAGAACTTTATAGTCAGTTATTTTTCAAGACCATAGAATTTATACTAAGTTTCCTCAAATTTATGATTCTTTAAATAATAATAATCCTTGTAAGTAGCTTTAGTTCTTTACTGAGTTAAAATATTCTATTGTTATACATTAGTATTGCAAATCTATTCACACACAATAATACTTGATAAATCACCTTAGTTCTTACCTTACCAGGTACCATAATTGGAAGTAACGTTAATAGCCCAGCATATAAAAAGCAGAGAACCACATTTCGGAATGCTAAAATTGTAATCCAAAAATTTCTGTACATCCCCGGAAGCTCCATTTTAGGTGAATAGATTGTTTTAATGTACGGGGTAAGTCACGAAATAATTGATCTGAACACTCTTTCACCGCTAACCGTGAAAATTTGGCAATCTATTATATGGAATCAATTATGAGCTAAAATTAAAGTACAGGCTACATATAGAATCCATCTGTAAATCATCAGGATAATTCGCATGACAATTATCACTTAAATTAGTAAAATGTGACTGTATAGGAAATAAGAGGAATTTATTAAATCACCTGCCTAACAATAATAATTTAATAATTTCATTTTCTACAAATGAACGGTTATATTAAGAGTTAGAGGTCAAACATCGAGCATCATTTAAATTTGTTTATGTAAGTGAAATTATTCAAAAAACTGGGTTATAAAGTACATTCAGTAAAAAGTATGAAAATTGATGACTTCAGATTCAGCATTATTCTAATAAGAAGTTATTCTTGTTATATTTGTACATGAAAAGACTATGAATGTCCCGGTTAACACTTACATGAAATCATGTGTAATGAAAAGTTTATTTATACTAGAATATTACTAAATTTCAAAACGGATTATAAACACTCATGTTTCGCATTAAACTTTTAAATAACACATTTTAATCATTAAAAATTTCGTCACTCATATTCAAGTTTCAATTATATACAAGTGCATATTATAAATGAGTCATAAGAATTGCGTTACATTATTTTTTATATTTAAAGTTCGAATTGACGAATTTCGAAAAACCACTATTAATAGATATCTAATTACAAGGCGTCTATTAATTATAGTTGGTTAGTTGGTATTTATTGTATTCGTTAGTCATTTTTTAAAATTATAAATGTGATTGTAATGGTTCTATCGTTTTCAGAATGTAAGACACTTCGAAGTAATAACCGGGTAATAAATGTATGTTAAGTTTTGACTTGTATTCCCGTTAAACAGGTTCTTGTGAATTCATTTAGTTAAATTTAATTGTATACAAAATAGTAAAATTAAATTTCAGAATTAGTTATTTATTATCAGAAGAATTAAATCTATACTATATAAATAACTGACGTATGAAGGACTGTAAGATAGCAAAGTTTTACAAATTAGTTCCCATCAATCTGAATTCAACGTTCATTCATATAGATGTAAGTTTTAACTTTGAAGATAGCCAGCTATCTTCATTCATTTTACAGTGACTCACTCCATTGCTACAACATATTTTAGGAAACTTATGAAGTGACATTAAATGTCAAATAGAATCTCCTAGTAAATAAAAAAAATGGTCCAACTCCCAATTAAGCATTTTCAAGACTGTAATTACCACATTGTTAAAGTGATAAGTGAGTTCTAGTAACAATAAAGCCTTAGTCTCTATCATATTTGAGATTATGATTGTGATTCGCATCAACATTTTAGTATAAAAATTTTTATTAAATAAAATGTTATACACAGTGATAAAAATGCAGATAAATTTTGATGTAAATCTGGATAGTTTATTGAACAGTTTTTAAATGTATGGAAGTAAGGATATACTGATTCCACAATGACTGTGATACTCTTAAACTGCCAAAGTATTTTAGTGCTATTCAACAGTGAAATATTATTAGAATACTAGTTTACCATGTTTAGCTATTGTTATATTAGCGGTTGGAAACACGAGTAGATCTAAACTGGACCACCACTGAAGATCTGAGAGGAGTGGACGGCCGTTTTGTTATAGTATGGGACTCGTTGGCAGTACTCATTCACGATCTCGACAGCACGACTCAAACCTAACACCTTCGGCCTCGCGCGTGAAAGCTTAAACTCTAGACCACTTAGCCGGCATCCAACGGTGTTAATGTCCATAACATTGCTCAATATTTCATCCATTTCCTGTGGTAGACGATTGTCTCACAACCGACACAGATTGAGCTCCACTGGTCAGGACTTCTGACTAGAACTCCAGGAATTACATCTTAAAACTCATCACTAGTAAGCACATGAAGTATGAAGCGTTTTTGAAAATTGTAGTATTTTCACAGTTGAAATTACCAATCGATCAAAGGCAGACTATCACTGAAAACCGAGAGGCATTGGACGGCCATTTCTTATTAGTATAGGGAGTCTCGAGTATAGATCGACTCGTGATTTCAATTGTGAAAATACTACCATTTTCAAAAATCCACATACTGATATCATTTGTTACATATCAAAGAATATGAGCCATATTACAAAAATATAGTTTGCATATAAGTTGGTTACATCTATTGCCATGTAGTGATAAGTAGACAGATTTTATGGTTTATTTTAAATATTGTAGATTCAACAGATTCTAAGATCCGATATGTTAGAGTACTAACTTTAGTCTATATTGTATCTCCTTGTAAAGAAGTGATCAGCCAGTACAATTCACTTTATTCACCACAATACAGTTTAATCAAAGTACTTGAACATTGCATATGACACGATATGAAACAAGAACACTTATCATAGAAGTAATAAGTAATGCTCAAACGAATAATGAGGTATATGTAAATATAATAACGTATTACATTAATCTACATGTGATGAGCATCGATACGTCTGTTTCATAATATTATTATATTGCTAATTTTCAGCATATATTAAGGTTAATAAAAAAAATAATTGGACGGTGGCTAGCAGCGTAATCCAGGACGCGTGTTTCATCCTATATGGGACTCGTCAGCTGGATGTACCTGAATTCCAGAGTTAGTGTTCACTCTGAGACTCGAATCCAATACCTTTCACTTCAAACGCCATCGCGTTATCCACCTGATTACTGAGTTTTGATAGCCACTGCCAGCCACTATCGATCTTTGCTTATTAAGCTTGTGACTTAAGACAATATCGAGGCAGTCTGCACATATGCCCACAAGTGACGGATCAATTGTCGTTACAAATAACAGTGGGAAGATACAAGTTAACAATACCAAGTAAATTTAAATAATAAATGTATTTAAAAATACCTGGAACATGAATAAAAAATTAACCACTCGGAGTAGAAATATTGAAACATTTGAAATAATGATACATATATACATATTTATATTCGTAAATGACATTTGCATGTGAATTTTTAATAATGATTGTATATGAATGAATGTTGACATACTGTACATAACTATAACTAAGATATATCTATGTATCGTATACGTAGATTTATTTAAAAGTCTAATCTATTCAATTGGCCTGTAATTTGAATTTTGTTTATAAAATATTTTTAAATTATAAACAGAAAATTTAAATTGTAGTTTAATTTTTAAAACAAAGATTGAGTTATTAACACAAAAACAAAATTTGTCTTGAAGATGTCAAATTAATCATCTGTAATTAATATTCCGTTCTTTAAAAATTAGATTAATAGTTTGTGGGGATGGATTTTATTTAAATGTGTCTCATCATGAATTAACGTAAAACAAAAAAACAATTAATGAGATTTTTGAAGTGTCTATACGATCATGAAACTGAATCTGAAATATACAGCTCTCTCGTTGTGCATAACATGTTTTTAATTATCTATATCTGAATTCAGTGCTTCAGGTTTTCAGTTTTAATTAGCTTGTAATAAAACATACCTATCAAAATAATCATGTGATAAGTTTTATATCATGACGGTTAGTTCTATGCCCTATACCTGCACATTAGAACTTCAAGTAATTCTTGTTAAAGCTAGCGATTAGTAGATACCTATTTGGACATATTAGATAGATAGTTTGTGTTACTTATCAACCATATGCCATAGGTAACTCGAATTAGTATAAGGGAAATTTGTGTGATTTTGGATGGTTCAACGAAATTAATGACTACATGCCATTTTATTTATACAAACCAAGACTTTATAGATATGTTCACACTAATCTAATTTATTAGTCGTTGGATAAAGAAAAAAAATTATTATTTATGGTTAGCGTTTGTAGAATCTTTATAATGAGGTTGTCGTTCATTAATCGTAACAGTCCTATCGATTGAAGTGACAAAAATAGATATTAAATAATCGATGTGTAGTGCATCAGAAACTATGAGCGCTTATTACCTTAATATATTTATGAATAAAGATGAGACTATTTGATTAGATGATTTAGCCATGTTTTTGGTGGAGTTTTGTTCTCTGAGCTGGATGGTTTAGTCGTGGAGCTTTCATCGTCCTTCTGAACGACATCATCAGCACAAACTTCAGGTAGAAGTAAATTTTTTTCTGATGATGTCGTTCAGAAGGACGATGAAAGCTCCATGACTAAACCATCCAGCTCAGAGAACAAAACTCCACCAAAAACATCCACCTGAGCTACAAATCTTCTCCACCATCTCAAAAAGATTTAACCATGTAAATGAATGCCCTTAAAGTGAGGGAATGATTGCTGTTAGGTTAATTCCTTTAAAAAAGCTATTTTAAATCTAAGTGCAAATCTATTAAACGGTAATATAAAAAGTTTCCCGTTATGACGGAATGAAAAGTCAAAATTAGATTGATTTACTCATTACGATTTTTTGTTCAATATCAATTCCGTTTTGATTTAATATAATGATTACTCAATGTTGTATTCGGCTTTGTTTTTCCCTATGACATTTTATTCTGTATAACATACGATATTCTTTTATTCAATGGACATGAACTATTCTCAGTATATGATTTTTTATAACGATGTATTTTTCATATATATGTGATTTTATTATAAATAGTAATTAAAAATATGTGTATGAATCAACACATAAGTGTGTATTTCGAACTAGACTTGTCGTGGTTGTTCGTGCTTCTGGCTGCTTGTGGAATATATTTCCCTCTTCCGAACTCGGACTTTCTCTAGTTAACTGGGTTGGGACGCGTCAGAATAGCTAGCTTATTGATATTTATTAACAGAGTCTTTGCTCCGTTCTTAGATTAGGTGAACTTGTAATCGCTTCAAACATAGCATTTCCAAATTAAAAAGCTGATTCTTTTTGTTTAACTGAAATATAAAATTATATTTAATAAATTAATATATTTGTAATATCCCAAGAAGTAGAAAAATCAAATTTTCTGACGTTTCGTGATTCATTGTAAGCCACTTCCTCAAAGAATAATAATTTTTCTACTTATTGGGATATTACAAATATATTAATTTCTTTATAGCAATCTAATAAATACTCAATTTATTCGAAATTATCAAGTCAAAGATCGGTAATGATACATGAAATTGTATTATCCTCATCGTCTAATCATCTTTAAATATACAAAATTTGAGATTGATTAAATATTCTGTTTATCATCTACATCCACAAACAGAAAAAGTATATGATATCAGTTAAATTAATTTTAGAAGAATAAGATGGATACGTTACATTTCAATTTGTACTCCATAAATGCTTGAACTTGTGTAGAACCATAATTAAGCGACTTTTAGCGCACTTATTGTAATAAAGTATTTTCTAAGTTAATCTAAATATCTATCTTATACTTATAAATTAGCGATTTATTTTACAGCTGATCTTGAAAGACCTATCGTAGAAAGTGAGTGATGCAATGACATTTTATTTCAGGTGTTTCGACATGTATAATAAAGAAGGTATTTCAGATCAATACCATACAAAACACTGACTAGAGCTCTTCATGGCGGTGTTCAGTGTACCATAGAACATGAAAAAAATATAGCTGAGCAACAGAGAGTAGATAGTATAAATCCTTGTTTATTTTATTGGAAGTGTATAAGACGCGGAACGTGAATGATATTTCTTTAATCGGTTGCAAAATATTATTTTATAGAGCAGAAAAAAACATGAAGCACAGATAAACTGAAAAAAAATTAATGAACTTTAGGGATTGTCTAGGCAATAATCATTCATATTCAACTCAACTTCATAGCTAAGGATTTAATCTCACCCATTTAGTCTTTTACTACCTAATACGATAAAGTGTAGTCAATTTATTCTATTTATGTTATTGTTTTTCTGAAATTGATAAAGTGAATTATGTGTCTAAAACGTCACTGTAGTCTATAGTAATTTTTCAACTACAGATAAATTTGATATGGATATAGATTGATATGTTATAAAAATATTTATTTGCGTATATTGATAACTGGACAGAATGATCATGATTGCTAAACGTTAACAGATGGAATAATGATTGACTAATTCTAATTAATTAGTTTTTATGAATGATTGTTTAAAAAGGTTATTTTATTCAGTACCATCATATTATCCAAAGTATTAAAATAGCCAAATAAACATTATTGAAGTTAGAGATCAACACCGTTGGATGCCGGTTCAGTTGTCTAGTGGTTAAGCGCTCACGTGCAAGACTGATAGGTCCCGGGGCCGAATCTCGCGAGGCGAGATAGTGGATACGCATTGCTAAGAAGTCCCACAACAGGACAAAACGGCCGTCCAGTGCTTCCAGGTTTCCAAAGGCGGTCTAGCTTCAACTGACACAAGATCTCAACCATTAAAATTATTATAATATCCGAAAACCCTTTCTGATACTAAAAAGAAAAATGTAAAAAAGTACAAATTACTAGGTCTGAATTTCTTAGTTTGGTGAGTTAATTCTTAAATTACAAATGACAGATGTAATAGAGTGATTTACTACAAAAATGTTAACAGTAGCCTGGCATGTGGTCATTAATACGTCAAATGGCTAGGATTAATGATGGATGAACAATGTTGTCAATAGTTGATTACCCATCAAAATTTTGGTTTAACCAGAGATTTATATCAATAGCAACTTTTGGATTTAAATATTTTTCAGTATTGGTTCGATAGTCGAAAAATTCGATAAATTATATTTACTATACCTAATCAATTCATAAAGTTATAATTGTCATTTGTGATTTACGGAGCAATATATAAACGTAGTGTTCTGTAAATCTTTTATTTTTAATCTTTAGGGATTTAAGATTAATTTCTTGTACGTTAGCTAATGTAGATACCCAATTCGGATCTTACTGAGACAGTTGTTAGATACCATGAACATATGGTTAATTTACTAAACAATCTTTGACGGAAGGATACGCATTGTTTAAAATAAGGTGTTGGTTATTTAGTATAACAAAAATCATTCATCAGTCCACTACATAGGTTATTCACTTACGTATCATATTTACTTTAGTATAAGTGGTTAACACGTGACATATAAATTCTTTTACAATTTATTTATAATAATTTTTTTTTAATCACAAGTTAAAAATTTCCTAACCAACCAGAAAAAGGAAATTAATGATTTATGTTATATATAAAGGACACATCCTCACGGTAACTCATAAGAATAATCTTATTAATAGTAAATGTACTGATCTCTCTGATATACCATGATGCATTTTGGACTAACTCAACGTGAACTACTTCAGTATACACAGACTACACAGCCGAATGTTTTGAAACCTGGAGTCATAGATGAAGTAGTGAACGTGTTATTGAAACACTATAAAGTGAGTGAAAACTAGTAAATCAGACTCATATTTGTTTATAATCATTTCCTATAATATTTCATTAGGCTTGAAAAAAGGAATCATATCGTTTATTTTCCTTTTTATTTTCAACCAACACTTGAGTTATTTTATAGTCAGTATACAATATTTCTATCCTCACTTAGTAGTTCTGATTTATTATGATTTAAATCAGACCAAAGTAGGTTATTTGTTTTATGTTTAACTCCATATATTGAGTTCTTGACTACATTACAGCTAGGCTATAATCTTGTGGAATAAAAATAATTATCGATAAAAATCACGGTTAAATTTACTTTTACATAGGAATTTCAACAAGGTCTTAAACTTTATCCTAATGACTTAGAATTGTTTCATTACTATTCCTTAAATATCATCTTGAATGATAATTTCAAATATATGGGACCGAAACAGTTCATGAAGTCGTCTTCTGTGGTTGTATTACGCTATATCAGTTTTCTTTATAAAGAATAAAGAGGACTTTTTTTCTATAAATGTTTACCAAATAAACTGTCACACAAACACATACTTAACATTTTTTTCCAGTGCTTGCTACATTTATATTCACTCAAGGTAAATTTCGTAACATCACATGCTACTTAGACTAATCAATATTATTCAACGCAACTAAGCTTCTAAATTGGGGACTGTGTATGATTTTCAACTTTGTGGGTATTTAAAAACTACTTGTTTTCTACACTGATTTATTTTAATGGTTGTGTAAGGATGACTTAAGTTTCTTTTTAGTCTAACATAATTGATTTCGTACAAAATCCAACAACTGATCGGTTTGCTAAACCAGATTTTTTCTACTATTATGTCTTAGACATACTTTATTTATTGATTGTGTTGCAAATATACAACCACCACTTTTTTTCGTCATAAAATCAGTGTACTGTAACCACTTAACATTAGTTGATAGTGTTGTATCTAGGTAAATTAAGCTCGCAAAATAGTTTCTCAGTCGAGTATAGTCAGTTACCTAATCAAGCCGATAATTGAATGCCTAATAAAAATGTTAAGTATAAATTGCTTAAATATTAGATTACTTATTTCTAATGGTGAACATCATCTCTCTCTCTTGTTTATATTCAAAGGCCTGAAATTTTTATTACTCAGAAAATGCTTAGACTCTTAATTATTCATGTATACTATGAAGATAACGTTCTAAATTGAGAAAAATTATTTATGTAACATGTATATCAACGCATGTTTAACGGTATATTATTTTTTTTGAAAATGTTGTTCAACCTGATTGATTTTTGTAACTTTTTCTAAACTACGTTAATACTACGTTCTTCTGTAAATCAATAAACCAACGTTATTACAGACTTCAAAAGATTTTGTCAGAAGGTAGGAAAACTTTTCTTCTTCCCCCTGTAATATGGAAGCCGTGAAAAATACAAGTCACAATAAATCAATAAGTTTTCAAACATTGTCATAGTAACTAACACTAGTAAAAAGCAACATCATTCTGGTCTCACTAGTCGGTTCAACAGTAATCCCATAATTTTGTAATGATCAGGACTGAATTAACAATATACACATGATATATTTTCCTTAGTTTAAATATATTTTCAGAAACTGTATTCGTGGGTCTATATTATTAACAAACATCTACTCAAACTTGCAACTTCCTTTTCAGACTTTGATTCAATTGTTTCCTTGTAAACTTTACTTCAGAAAACGAAAATATTTTTATATTATTAATTAATTTTACGATAATGGTAAAATATTGCATATGTGAACTTTATGAAATCTAATACGTTTTTAGTTCATCCTTGATCGTATCAGGAATTTCAAACCGTTTTTAATAAAAGAAAGCAAAATAAAAATATGTATATACTGATCCCACACTAGTGAGCGAATAATATTGACAAATTAGGACCAATTGGACGTTTTTCGAATATTCAATTTAAAGATTCCCTATATTTGTGAAATCGGTGTTTAATACAACAGACTTTATTATCTATCTAATCTATTTTAAACAATCGAAGAAAGTTTTTAAAATTTTCAAATAATGAATCGAACTAATATACACGAGCTCAATCAACCCTAATATCACTAACACCTTAATGTCATTTTATTAACATATTAGTGTGTATAGTTGTGAATAAATGGAATAAATGATTCAAAAGTAACTGTGAATAGAAGAGTTTGATTCTTATTTTTCAAACTCTATATAAGTTGAAATAATGGATACTTTTTTCTACTAATTTTTCATTTAATTGATATAAAAATTTACGAGGTTAAACCTCAGAGTTGACATTCCTAACAGTTTGAGAATGTACTCTTTTAACTATTTCATGCTGGACATTTTATTATTAGCAAGTTATAACAACCAACTTTAATATAATCAACAATATTTTATTTTATAGAAATGTGAAGATGAACGAATCCACAGTTTAGCTGAAATCGAACGTAAACGTATGCTAAATCTGGAAGCAGAAACTGAACTAAAACAGATACATTTGTGTTTAAAGAGAGAACCTAAATGTCAGACTAAGAAACTGACCAGGAAAACTATAAAACCATCCATAGATTGGATGGAAACCCAGAAACCCGGGATGCATCCCCCACCCGATTCAAACAAATGCAAAGTGAGTTTGGGTAAAATATTTTTATTTAAACGTTTAACTGGACATAAAAAACTATCTAAGAATAGTAAAGATGTATTTCCTTTAAATTTTTTACGTATGATTATTCTGTTCCTACGTTAAAAAAGTCTTAAAAAGATACCTAGAACATTCCAACTATCATTCTACCTTGATGGTAACAAACTGTTGTATAAACGGAAATTCATTTTATAATCTAGGTCAGTGTTGATAAAAAAGTTTCACAAACAGTAATAGTGATTAATTAAAAACTATACCTAATGTAAGCACTTCAAAAATAACTGATCAGTCTTTTGGGATAGTTGGTTACATAAAAATTGTTTAGAATGAACAATTGGGAAACTGATGATTCTACATGGAATATTTTGCATATTCATGTGTCATAATACATAGAAAACAACGGAATTTTCTGCCAGAGTGCTAGTAATTGTTTTATAGAAATACTTGCTGATAGAGACTTAGCAATTAAATGATTAAAATCTTATAATGGAATTATACCTCTTCGCCTATACACACTTGAATAAATTGAATGAATTAAAATCAGCGACTAGATCAGACTTACGTTACTATCTTCTACGTTGTATTTGGAACTGACTCAGTCGTAGAACGAAAACAATTAAAAAAATGTCATTGAAAGATTAAAATTTGTTGCTGAACCACTAATATTAAAACTAATATTCACAGTTGTCACTGAACAATTTAAATTTTAATAAAAGACAAAGAAAATAAGTAACCTGATAGTTCGATGTTATATAATATATTACGACAATGTTTGTTTTCGGTAACTGATAGCGTTTATAAAATCACGTCGTTAAAAGTGTTAACAACTTATTTTATGAATAAGTTTGAATAAAGGTCAAACGTATTAAGTTTTCAGAACTTCATCAAACACACTAATGAAACAATCAACAATCGTAAATGATGAGTTATTGATCAAGAAAATGTATATATCTTCCTTTAATTCGATCATTCTAACACTATCCGTTTTTTTTACTCGACTTGTATTAAGGAACAAGATAGTTGGGAAACGTCAAGCTATGACCGAGCTATGAAGTCAATAATTTAAGTTATATGACCTCTTTTTTCAATATCTCAACTTTGTGCAAGTCACCAAGTAGTTTTGACTTTGAATGTTTTGAAATTTTTTCCCTAGTATCATATGTCATTTGAGTACTTAAATAGGAAGATAAAACATTGATTTTCTCAAGTACACTCCATATAAAATATAGTCATGTGACGTATGCACTTTTTCGTTAGTTTCTTGAAATTTATTACAAAGAAACAATTCAAAAATTTTCATTATTATATTTTATTAGTAATAACCCAAACATCTGATCACTGATTAAGTTAAAATGGATACTATAGTTACTTAAAAGTACAGAAGATAAAGTTTAAACAAATGGAATGGAAACTTTAGGTTAAGTACGATAACAATCATTTTATTGTTTAATGCAGTATATTAAGGAAATGTGCTAAAACGTTGAGTCCATTTCATTAGAAAACAGGAATTATAAAACGCATAACTCCAGACTTTCCTAAATATATCCGTTATTTACCTATTTCAATCTAATCTCGGTTCTGTGTAGTTTCAAAATAGATGTGGCGGAGAAACCGAAAGAATTCACCAAAACGTTATAAAAACTATGACATCAGAGATAGATTATATATATATCTTTTCCTTATCATGATTCTATTTTCGGTATGCTGCGTCATCAATGGCCGTATACGTTTGTAATGATTCCACTTATAATTCACATGAAAACCAGATTATTAAGCATATTTCTATGTGCAATAAAACTACCATGTTTTAGATATTATTCGGTGCAACCAACCAATTTTTTGAATTAAAGTATGCTTAAAAATCTTAAAAACAGTAAACTCATAACTGTCAACTTTACAGTCACCCATATTCAGTACACAAACCTGTTTGTTATGAGCTAAAATGTAGAGTACATAAGGTCGACCATTTTGTATATTGTTGATTTCGTTCGGTTGAGCGTTTGTTTACCTAGTTAATCCTATTAAAATATGAAATAACCCTGAATATACGTGTTTATGTATAAAGTTAAGTAGGTAAAACGTTTAAATCACTGAATATTTATACTGATTTATTGTTACTTCACGACACTTTGAAGGAACTTAAGTGGGAAAATCCAAAAAAGTTACCCAATGAGTTGTATGTATTTTCCGGTGAACTATAAAAGTTCATGTTTTTTTGAGTATTGCAAAGTTTCAACCACTTATTTTTATGTCTGGTGATTCGTATCTGTTATGAATACTCTTACTTTAACTAGTAAATGAATTGTCATATAATTAAATTTCATTTAAAATTATGAACTCAGTCAAATACTGAAACACATTCTATGACCTCGTCATTTTCATCAAAATTGCTGCCGATTCTGTTTGGTCATGTTCCTTCGAAAACAATTATTAAAGAATTAGACATCTATTAATAATTTTACCATACCATGATTAACGAGAAAAGCAAACATTTACAATCATCAGTAATATGATATTCTTTTGGGAACGTGAACAAAATTGTTTGTGCTTTAGCTTTTTTAATATAAAAGAATGAATATTTCATAGGAAGCATATCTGTTAGAAATGAGTCAAAATATAACTCAGAAATTAAGTTTGACATGTTAGTTAAAGGACGTAGTATATCGGTACTGTAACTGGTCTACACGCATCAAATTAGTGTTTAATAAACGTCAATTGTCGTCAATTAGTTGGGTTGAAATTAGACTTCTGACTACATATATGATTGCAGTTTTGGCACAGTGTTTAAATCAGTGGTTGATGAGTAAATAAATCATCAGAATGGGTTTTGTGGAGAGTTTTAGAAATTTCACAAGTTGAAATCATGAGTCAATTGAAGCTAGACCACCATGGAAAACCTGGAAGCACTGTATGAGCACTGCTGATGAGTCCCATACTAGGACGAAACGGCCGTCCAGTGCTTCCAGGTTTTCCATGGTGGTCTAGCTTCAAATAAATTATCATTGAGCTAAATCAGTCTTGTTCTGTCGTAACAGGTAGCAAGCAGTAGTTTTTCAGCAATCGCGGCAAATACCAATATCTTTAGTAATACCAGTCCTTCATCAACATTCAGTAGTATCCCAAACTATAACAACATTTATAGACATTTTAAACAATTCGAATTATGTTAAGTATAAAAGTTCTAGGAGAGTGAAGCTTATTAACTATGAGAATTCGTAAAAAATCAACGTTTCCATTTTTTAAAATTATTTCCTTAAAGAAAATAAAAGATGATGATCTATTAGCTAAGGCAGAAAACGATATTTACAACCAAACAGTTAATGATCCAAAAAACAGATATACTGATGTAAACCATTCAAATCGGCTAAAAGAATTAGATCCAGATGCATGCTTACATTTACCTCTTGGTTTGGTAAGAAATCCTACTCCAAGAACAAAGAAGTTTTTATCATCCGAGGTACGTTATTCTTAAATTGATGATTCATATTTATTACTATATTGTGTTTTTAAACTAGTTAAGTCTATGTTTTATATTTAATTTAATTTACCTGAACTAGTATTAATATTTATTGTACATATACTTTATAGATAAACTTACTTATTCTCTAATAAGCAATCCAGCTTGGTGATGAAGTGATCTTTAAAATGGTCACATTAATCTACAACGCATAGTTTTATAAATGTAAACCAGAACGCTTTTTATTGATTTAATAACATTTGTGTGAGACATAACACTTCATTTTCGAATCATTTTTTTTATCAAAAACATTAAATTATGTTTGTTCAACTTTTCTTTAACTTTCAAAAATCGTTTAGACCAATGAATCGCTTTATGCTACGGCAAATCAAATGGTTTATTCATCATCTGATGATCAAGCACAGAAACGCTGACAAGGAAAGGGAGCAACAATTTAATTCAGTTGTTAGAATATTGTTTAATGAATATTTTTCTAAAGAAAACAATAAATATTTACAAGAACCGTTTTGTTGATGTTTTGATTGCCATTGTAAAATTTGCTATTTTCAGTCATGTTATCGGTAATCAGTTAAGTCAAAAAAAGAAGTTTACTTCACTCCAGTTTTAACATTACTCTGCTTTTTAACGATTCAATAGTTTGTATTCCAGCAAGTAAAAGTTACATCATATACAGTTTTAAGTGAATTTTAATTAATTAAATTAAACTTTTAGACAATATTAACATTCTTTGTTGGGAGTCATTAAAATGATACATAATATATATAGTCACTCTCACAGAACATATAAATATACATTAATTTAGTAGAAAAACTAAACTATAAATATCAAGAAAGGATCAGTTAATATCATTATTGGTAAGGGTTTGAATTATTCTGTTGTTAATATCCACAACTGCGCTTTAATTAGTCATTGTTAGCATAAGTAAATCCTGTAATGAATATCTTGAGTCATTTTGAACAGATGAGGTGTAGCTAACAGTGGAATCCAGAATGTAAGTTACTGTCTGTTTAGAACTAATCAGATGGATTTATCTCCACTTACAGACTGATTTTCACATTAGGACATTAGTACATCCAGCTGACAAGTCCTGAATAAAACAGAGCATATGTCTTGAATTCCACTGCCAGTCACAATTCATTTATTCTGAAGTATCCGTCGATTCAAGGGAAAATACGCCATTCATGGCGTATATGTTTCCCATAAAGTTGTTAAGTCGCAATTTTAAAATAACAACCCAGTATAGGGTGGTTGCAAGTAGAAATTAAATGTATTTTTATGCCAATCATAGCTGGTCATGATGGCTTATATTAGTTTTGGTAAGACTGATACCTTTCGTATGATTTAAAACCACTTCATTAAACGTCACATTCAGAGATGTTACCACTAAGCTATTCGTGCTGTGACTGACCTTTGGAAGGACTAGGACATTTACATTGGCTTACCATTGAGCAAAAATCGATATATTACTTATCTAGTTCATACTCATGATTGATAGGAGCAAGGATATCAGCCCTATAAGAGATCATTCACTACATGACTGTGCCACTGCTAAGGCCTCTGGATGTGACACTGGACAGTATTGATTTAGATCATGCTGGAGGCGTTTGTTTTCTAAAAATGCGTATTAGTAAATAGTGCCTTCTATTAATGACCGATAGAACCCATCTAGTAGAGTTGACAAGCGTGATGTTATTAATCATTACAAATAATGATAACATTTGTTTTGAGAACGTCTCACGGAAGTGTTTAACTACGATTCGTAAGTGAGAGATAAATTCTTGAAAATAGTAGAGCTAGCCTATTCTGAATTTAAAAGAAATGCGTTATATTATTAACATACATAACATTAAATTATTGTCAATGCGGAAAAAATTGTGACTGAGTGTTCACCGAGAGGCGACTAATATAATGTTTGTTTGAGTCTTTAGAGCTGATGCAATTCTGTTGATCAAGTTGCAATAATTTCAATAGTCAAAGTTAATCAACATAAAATTCGCGATGCTGAAACTAGTAGTTAATTATTCAAACTGTAAATAATACCAACTACCTACTAAATGCGTACGTTTATAATGAGATCTTAATTTCTAAGTATTTGAGTTTGAGTTAGAATCATTTAAATGGAGTTTTATTCTCGCAGTTCGATGATTTGGTCGTGGAGCTTTCGTCGTTTTTCTAAACAACATTATGAAGACAAACTTCGCGTAGAAGCGAAGTGTTTGAATTTCTCAACATATGACTAACAGCTTATCATGTAGACCTCGATGTTGATTGGTTATTGTTGACCATTAATCTGTCATTGTTTACTGCTTTATTTTGATTATATCTCCCATTGATTTGATTCTTGTTCCTATATTTGTTCATGGGTTTTCTGATTTGTTGATAGATTGGATCGATTGCAACGTCTTTGTTGATTGCTGATTGACCTGAATGTCAAGCTTCTAAAAATTCTCTGGTGTTTTTAAAATTTCCTCTATGCAAGATCGCAACATTTTTCCAGTCAAATGTGTGCTCATAGTTGATATAAGCGAGAATATGTCATGGCGCTTGCCCACTAAATGATACTAATGCAGGCAAAGATGAAAGAAGTGTCCACTTTGTCCGATTTAGTGTTTTTCGCAGTTGGAACAATTTATTTTGTAGATAATTCTCGGTTTTTCTTTATCATTTTGTCCTTTGCTTCGCATAGAATTGACTGAAGTGACACTTGATTTGTGCTAGACTTGTTCCAATAATCTTGTTGTAAATTCTGAAGTCTTTTATATATGGTAGGATGATCTGTTTGTTGTTTCTGTACTTGATTTTGTTTTTGCCGATACGTTGGGTTGATATATTTTGGTGAAGTTGATGGGATAGTCGTTCTTTTAATTGTCTTTAGATATTTTTCTTCATTTTTCCGCGCTAAATAAAATGTATTTAGCAGCGCACTTGTTATAAAAACGAAATAGTCACGTGTAAATTTTTTAAATTTACTATGAATTAAAGTTATCTCCTTGTAAGGTAAATTGAATTTCGTTATTATCAAATAGTTTTTTATGTCACATACTTTGGAGTAACTGTTTTTTAACCAACAGAGAACCGGCTCAGTTTGCTCTCAATTATGAAACATAATAATGATAAATTATCCTTAATATATTCTTTTAGACCTTCATTCAAATTCTCATACCACTAAAGGGAACTGAAACCCTTCAGTGGAGCTCGCATCTCTATCTGACGTAATTCTCTGATCAATTTTTTTATCACCAATCTAACTCGTTTCAAACTCTTCTTGAATACTTAGTCTTTAATCAGTTCACTGAAACATCTGAAATATTCATCCAGGTAATAATGCATTACTAACTACTCTAAGGTTAATTTAAACGATATTTAAAGTTGTTTTAGATTTTGACGTTAGTTGTCAATTTTAGAAAACGTTTCGTTCTGCCTTACCTGTTTGTGAGACATAAAAGCGTAACAAGTAACATCTCTGGCTTGAAATTGCTCGTTTCTGCTTTATTCAGTATCATATGAACAGATTCGTTTTAGCTCTGTTTGATCCACGACCGATCATAAGCAAACGTTTGACACACTTTAATGAATCGTAAATGGCCATTCGAGAACGAATCGTAAATCATAATAAGACGAACAGGTCACAAATTTTATGAAATTAATTCTTTACTCATATAGTTTATGTCCTATTCTTCTTATTACGATTCCTTTTTTAACATCTGTCTCAATTTCATTAGTTAATATCAAACGTTTGTCCGTAATTCCCACTATAATTACAGAAAAGTCAAGTGAAAGCAGAATGTTGTTGATTTATTTATGTTCATTTTCAATCCACATGGTGAGAATAATAAAAATACTGTCATATCTCTTACCAGTTGGTAGCAAACATTCAGATTTTTGTTTAACGTACTAAATATTCTAACAAAATTACTACTTCTGATCACGCTAAGACGAAAATGTCTTGTTGAGATATTTCAAACAAATTCTTCATTTATGTATTTGAATTATTGTCTATGTTTTGTTAGCGAATATGTGCACTGATTTATGTATGAGGCTTACTTACACTTGTTACCCTTCGTGGCCATAAGCTACCATACGAGGGTTCGCCAACCAATTCCATGCTGGGCACTCTTTTCCAGTTACTTCCAAGTGTTATTCACCCTATCGATATCTCCCTCCAATTTTCGAAGTTAATTTAATGTGTTGATATCACATAAACTATACGTAGTTCATCGGAATTTCTTAATTTCACTCAGCTTTTTAGCATCATAAACAATAGCAAACCAAATTGTCATTTGGCAATCTTCGGAAATTTCAATATAGTTTTGATAATTAAAATGAATGTAACGTTTTTTCAGTTGATTCTTATTTTGACCAGAGCATTTATCGATAGATTTGATAATTTAAAGAAATTCTTAGTGTTCACATAGATCAAACCAGTTCTCATTGAATCACGCAGCTGAGACTAAATGGTTTCGATTTCTAACTTTAATCCATAAAAGTTCAAACCTGTTCGATGCTGTACTAAAAATGTTTATATAGATAGTATTTATGCATTGGCATCCAGCTCACAGTGTGTCATACCACAATTATTCGAACAAATGGATTGTTCAGTATATTATTATTGATAGATTTCAAGTAATGATAGGAAGTTATGTTATTTTTGTACCACGTGTTCTATTAATTCTAAACACTAGTTCTGTAGATTCATATTTTCTGATTAGTTAATTCTAATTTTCAGAAATTTCTTTGGCTATAGATACAGTTGAAACCTCAATGGGAATGAAAACATGTGTGTTTCAAGACAAATTTCTCATAGATAATGCTACGTGAACTCCTAGCAACTAGTTTATCATGTTTCAATGATAAAAGAATCACATACAATCTACTAGGTCCAATGTACTTATGGTTCATTATTTCAAGCTTTAAACGTGATTAATTCGACCAAACCGAACCTTCATATATTATTCATCCAAACGTCCCAATTCATTATTTATATCTTCATTTACTGCAATATTATTGGTTTTTATGAAATACGTATGCAAAATAAGTCATATAATTTTTAGTAAATGTTATATAACCGGCCGACTTTTTCACAAACATGAATGTAAAGAAATTATTACGAACTCATATGAGAAATAAAAAACGTTACAGAGAAAAAAATAGTTCATTTCTCATAGGAAACTTTATTTTAGAATGTACTTTGTATGGCGCAAAAGATTAAACATTCTTCCAAGTCATTTTTACATGGGAAGTATCGAAATAATCGCCATTCCCATTCGAAAAAATATTGTTTACAGTGGATTGTACAGCCATCGATTTTGAGAACAACACAATAAGATAAATTTCAAAAGCCAATCTGAGACGTTATTATTTATAAACATGATATGACTAATGTAGTTAACATTTGTATGGTTTATTTATTTACATGCTTTTAGCATCGAGCGAAGCTTGTAATTAATAAAATGAGACTTTCATATATCAGTCAAGCTAGACAACTTTTATTAATGCAAGTGATCACA